TATATATATATATATATATATATATTTAATCTAGCTTATTTCAGGAAGACATTGTCTGACACCACACCACACATGATGGTGTAAAAGCGTCAAAGTGATTAAACTGGCTTGACTGTACCTGTCAAATCTTTTTAGTATTATTAGAAAATAAACATCCATAATAAACATCTTTACCTGCTTCTTCCTTTTTGGGTCATTAGCATCACTGGTGTGGGGTGCCCATATCCAGCTCTCAATGTGTAAGAGTCAGCGGACACCTTGGGTAGGTCTCCAGTCCATCACAGAGACACTTTAAGAGACAAACAAGACAATCATTCACTCTCACACCTAGGGACAATTTAGAGTTACCTATCAGCCTAACATGCATGTTTTTAATCTGTGGGAGGAAACCGGAGTACCCGGAGAAAACCACGCAAAGAGAACATGCGAGGTCCACCCAGAAGGGTTCCCAGATTTGAACCAGCAACCTTCTCGCTGAGAGGTAACAGCTCTACCAAACTGAGCCAGCACGTTTCTGAAGGAAAAGATTTTATGCAAGACAAATATGACTGTGCATCTTCCCTTTCTTTTTGAAAATCGTTGCAGTCAGTCAACTACATATATTTAAAGGAAGAAAATACAGAGTCTTTACATTTTTTTATGCTCAGTCCTTTGTGGTCACTGTTGGAGCCTGTTCCCACACCATGAAAGTGAAAAAGCGGACTGTAAAAATCTGTTTCTGTCGACAGCATGGCCAACAAGCATCAGATTCTGTTTCACTGAGGAAGCACGGCTGACTTGGTGAAGTCAGTAAAGTCCTGCAGGTGCATCTTTTGTTAAACAGAGGCCCCTGAGGGGACACAGTTTTGTGCATCGTGTCTGCAGTTTCTGCTTCAAAACTTCTGCCCGCCACTTGACTTTTCAAGTTAGGTCAGGTGCCATTTCAGGCTCTTGAATTCACTGCATGGACCAGATCTGAGTGGGAACGGGCTCAGGATCGTTTTTAAAGAACGACGAGACACAGCAGAATCATGGGCAGGTGAAGCTAAACCACACTGAACTTTTCCTGTTCGTCGTTTCTTCTGCTTGTGCTTTCGTCTATTTCTATTAATCAGATATTAAAAGTTCAACTTGTTCAGGACATCAAATTGATTTGTTTTAAAGAACAAACACGTTACTAAAGATCAGAAATAAATACAGATTCTGTGGTCCCTTAGCAGGTGACGCATAACAGTTAGCAAGAAATAATCCTTCCAGTCTTTTACAATATACATAAGTTGACTTTTGCTATTTCTGACTTACTATTATTATACTTTTTAGATTGTTTACTTCACTTAAAATTGTTTTCTTAATAAAAAATACTTTAGGGACTCTATACATTTTTTCTGCTCTTTGAAATCTACCTTAGCAAGCGTGCCTCATTTTTAGCTTTTAGCTGTTAGCTAATTTAGCTTTTAGCCACTGTTCATTCATTTTTAATTTCAGCTACAGTTTTGTTAATGTCGGTTTTTTGTTTTGCAAAATTATTAGAAACAGACACGTCTAGGAAAGAAACCAAGACATCCCTGTCTCCAGCTCCTCCTGGGGGACCCTAAGGTGAGCTGGCAGAAATATTGTTGCTCATTTAATATTTTTAACATCACAACAGCACGACAAAAACATAAAAAGACTCAAGTCGAAGCTGATATTTTTCCATTATGTACTGATACACTCAAGCTGCATTGTAGAGCGTTAATATAAGTTTTATTAAACAAGTTTAACTCTGTAAATTAACAGATTTCTGGGTTTCTATCACGTTTGAAAAACAGGCCTTGCTCTTTGGATTCAGCACTGAAGTCACTCTTTGACGTTGTGCTTTTTAATGCTGTTTGCTCTGACCGCAGCTGGCAAACTCATCTGTTTGCGGTGATTATTTGTCACGAGCTCATTGGCTGCAGTCTGTGGTTTTGTCCAAGTCTGTGGTTTTGTCCAATCAGCGAACAGACAGAATCCTGCAGGTCGCTGCGACAGTGCGATTGGGGTCATTACTATTGACAAATTCTACCTCTGTGCACGATTGTCACAACTTTGCAACTCCTCACTTCCTTTGACCATACCTGTCAAGGGCTACCATAATGGAAGTCCATACATTTACCATGAAAATGATCCAGTATTTCCTAACAAAGATATTTTTAACAGCACAATAAGTAGTCAAAGTTTAATCTGGTAGATAAAATGATTGCGTTCATCAAGGGCAGTAGCTGTTCATGAGGGCGGACAGTCCATGTGCAGTTTGATGAGGATTCCCATGAGATCCTTGGCATTTCCTCAGTGTTTACCTTATACACCACACTGTCCCATTCCAGGACTCAGTGGTCAATGGACTTAACACAAGCGTGCACACAGCTGTGTTTAAAGGGCCAACATGGTAAAACTTGGAGAAGACACCCTGGATAGTTGGATACTGACATCTGGTGGCACGGTGTGATGATTTTAAAATACAGACAGTCTTATGGATCCAAACCAGGGAGTCTTAATTTTCTATTTTTAAATTAAGGCAGGGTTGTGCTTTTTGGACTCGACTAGAAAATAAATATAAACTAAAAATATTACCAGGAACACTTTCTACCACCTGCATTCTTCGCCTTTCGGTTGCTCCCTTCTTCAGGGGTCGCCACAGTAACTCGCACAAATACTTGGCAATTGTTTTTACACCGGATGTCCTTCCTGATGCAACCACAGACCACTGAGCTACCACAGCCCTCTGCGTGGAGCAGAGAGCTGCTATAGGGTGCCCGGGGGAGCATCTGGTGGGGTTAAGGGCCTTGCTCAAGAACCCAGAGTGGTGCAAATGAGGGTGGAGACAGGTGTGGGTGTTTCACCTTTTCCACCCACATTTTGATGTTGTCGGTACCAGGGGGGTTGAACAGGCAAAAACTAGAAACATCCATCCATCTATTGTCTATACCCGCTTCTTCCTTTCTAGGTCACTGGTGCCTCTATCCAGCAGTCACTGTGTGAGAGGTGGGGGACACAACTGGCAAGTCCATCACAGGGACACATGGAGACAAACGAGACGAACAACCCGTTCACACTCTCGATCAAGAAACGTTGCAGAAAATTGGTCACTTTTCTAAAAAAAAAAAAAGGTTTAAATTGAAACGAAATGCTGCTGCGAGTTAAGAGCTCAAATGAAAGATCTTGTTTCATATTTACTAACGGACTCACTCTCAGACTGCAGGTTTACTTGTGGCTTCTAGAGTTTCTAAAATGGGAGGCAAAGCTTTAACAGGCTCTTCTCTAGTAGAACCAACTTCCAGTTTCCGTCTGCTTTAAAAACTAGGCTTAAGATTTTCCTCTTCATTGAATCCTATACAGGGCCGGCCCAAGGCATAAGCAAACCAAGCGGCTGCTTATAGGGCCCCGGGGCCACTGGGGGGCCCGCTAAGTGGAACTGATTTGTTTTTTTAGTAATGATTTTTAAATTATTCTATTACACACAATTTCATTATAGTTGTGATTTTTTTTTTTTTTACAAATTACATTTTTCAAATTATTGTATACATTTATATAGTTTTAAGAACTAATTATTCAACTCTAAATTTCTTTTAAACCATTTCACGTGGCTTCTTCCCTGCAGCCGTCAGATTGCCGAGTTAGAGCTGCACTTAATTCAGCTTCATCTTTTATTTTTATATATATATATATGTATATGTGTGTGTGTGTACTCTTTTGTATTTATTTGTTAGGCTTCTTGATCTGGGACCTGAGTCTGAATTTCGTACCATAAACATAAAAATGTGAGCTGGTATGACAATAAAAAAAATCCTTGAATCTCATCATTGCTGAACTGAGATGACCACTGTTGTGAACTGATGCTGTATATTAAACTTTAATTGAAAGCTAGTAAGTGGTAAACAAATACAGACTGTTAAAACTTAAACTCGAGAACGTAGAGTTTATTTCATGTCATTATTACAAATTTACAAAATGCTAATGTTCTGTAGGAAACACATTATGAAAAAAAAATAATTGGAACAGTTGTGATCATTAAGAAATACATTCAGTTTCTTTAAAAAAAAAAAAAAAACTATAATGCATAACACTCCACAGAAACTGGTCATGACTGTAGTGCAGTGGTGTCTGATCCTGATCAAGGGTCACTATCCTGCATGTTTTAGAGATTTCTCTGTTCCGACACACCTGATTTGAATCAATGGGTGATTAACAGACACCTGCAGAACACATGGCAGCATCCAAACCCTGAATCAGGTGTACAAGCAGGGAAACAAGTAAAGCACAAAGAACATTGGCCCTCAAGGACCAGGACTGAACACCGCTACTGTAGAGGGTTTTTATTCTAAATAGTGCATTTCTTACCAAAATAAACTCTTTAAAGGATGCAGTAATATATCAGTAACTAATGAAGAACAAAAAAACACAAGCTACATAGTCAAATGAAAAGAAAAAATGTGAATAAAGTTCTTGGACTGAATGAACCAACGAGAACATTCATCCAAACTTGTTCTGCTTACTGCTATCTTAAGTTCCTTTTTATTTTATTTTATTCATCCTTGATTACTGTGGGAACTTTAACAAAACAAGAATAGGGAAACAAATTTATTAAAAGGTGTGCAAATATTTTCTGAGCAAACAATCGTGATCAGTCGTGAGTCCGTTTACTGTGGATTTGATGTGGATCTATGAAAAACTCTCAAATCCCAGGATGCAGAGCACAGGAATGTTTTGTCAGGCACTCAATTCACTCACATACGAGTTCCATCAGTAAACAAAAACAACAAAACATTAAGCACAACAAGGAAACAAAACAAAAAACATTCTTTTACAAAGTTATCTAGAAGGGCGGAAGGAAGTTAGAGTCTGAGTAGGAGAAGAGATGTGATCAAAAAAGTCGAGGGGAAGCATTAGGTGCACAAAAATAATAAAGTGAAAAACATCACATCCATTAGGGCTATTTAATCATGGAAGACCTTAATGTTGACGAGCTTCAACATCGAGCTGGACCTCCACATTAACGAAGAAGGATGGACCACAGAGTGAAGGACAAAGACTCTGTAAACATGAAGACGTTGTGCTTACAAAATAAAGTATCTCGTAGGGTTTGAAAACAGCCCCAGGTGAGAGCAGACACGGAGCTCAGAGTCCGTCGACGCTGGCGCCCAGGAAGGTCCGGTTTCCGTTTGGTCACATCGTAACGATCGAACAGTTGAAAACTGGTCAGTTGCTCTTGAGCAGGTCGATGCAGCCTTGCAATATAACCACGCTGTTCTGTGGAAACAACGGCAACTTGTGTGATTATTAAATCTGTTTTGGTTCAAATCAAGAGTATTTTGTGTCTCAGTGTGACAAAAGACAAATTCAGCTACTGTACTTTTCGGACTATAAGTCGCATCATTTTGCATAAATTAGCAAGTCCTGAGACTTATAGTTCAAAGCGACTAATATAAGTTTTTTCCCCATATTTATAACCCAATTTTTGGCTGAAATCTGATGATTTCATTCATTCTGACATGGAAAATATTAAACACTACCATTTTCAGCCGCTAGAGGGTGCTCGACTAATATGGCAAGCCAAGTGTCTCATTAATAGGTAAAAGTGGCTATTAATGAGGCACTTGGCTTGCCATACAGAGCCACTTGGCTCCGGAACTCCTGGAGCTTTGTTCCGCTGCGCGACTCAGGCGAAATGCAGCTGATTTGACCATGAAAGTGCATTTATTAAGGAAAAGTTCAACTGAGACACACCTTTGCTATAATGTCGAGCAAACAAATAATTGTTTAAGTGTTAATCTTGTTAAATTCTTGTTAAAGTCCTCCCGTACACGCTCGTGCAGCTGCCATTTGGCAGCCAATCGATTTTTGGCACAACACTGGCCGGCCCACATTTCCAGGTGGTCAGCGGTGACGTGTAATAGGTGCGACCTATACGGCGAAGCAACTTATTTATGTTTTATTTTCATTTTATTAGACTTACTTGGACTGATGCGACTCATATGACGGTGCGGATTTTAAGGCAGAAAGTATGGTATGTACTGTAATTAAATTTCATGGTGAAGACAATTTTATTTCCATTTAGAGAAATTTGAGCATAGATGTGGGATTGTTTACAATTAGGAAAAAAAAAACATTTAAGCTTTTTAAAAATAATTTTAGAATTTGAAACAGTTGGAGGATGTTCAGGGTTGAGGTCACTCTGTAAAGGGAAACAGCTACAATTTTATGACAATTTATAAAGCATCATTTTGGAAGAGTACATTTATTGATTATATATTTTGGGACATCAGATTTATTGTTGTTGTGCTGCCTGCTGTTTTGGAAATCTACACATTTAGCACTGAAGTAGTGCACACTGAGTTACTATAATATCAATAATTTTGTGAGACAGCATAATATATAGACAAAACTTATGAAAAACTAAATGTAATATCCACCTAACAGATAAAATAGTATAATAAGTTTAATTTTGTTTCAGTTGTCATTTTATTGAAGGTAGAAGTCTTAAGGAGTTTGATCAGTTCAGCTGGTTGCCTTTATGCGTTTTTCAAAGTAAACTTTACTTTTTGCACATTTTTATGCTTTATGGTCAGATTCTTTCCAACTCCAGGCAATCACATTGTATCAGTTATTTTATTTAATAAAGCTTTTCAAAAATAACATGAATACACTGGCAAAGCAGCGAATGAAGAATAAATTGCCAACATTTTACAAGTTATCTTTCATTCCGTGCACCAGTGTTGCAGCTTGTATAGTTCCTTTAATCCACCAGTTTACAAAAAGTTTACATATTTATATGTTTGCTGGTCTAAAATGGATTGCTTCTTTTAAAATACACTAACAAACGAACGACAAACAAACCAAAAAAAAAAAAGGAACATCAAGAGCACATCTTATCTCTACAAAGACTGGATGCTTTCTTTTTAAAGAAACGTAACCACACTTGGTTTCAAAGTGAAGATAATGCACTGAATCAGGAACTGTGCTCACCTTGGAATGTTTTATCTCGAGCTCAGCCATTTCTACGAGGTTCTTCCTGAAGGCCATAACTCGTCTGCCCTTGAAACTGGTGAGTTCTGTGAGAAATGTGCAACACGAACGGGTTTGCTCAGTCAATGCAATTTTACGATAAAGATAAATAAAAGAAGCAGCACAAAATGAATTCGCATTCGTTTACGCATAAATGCACCGGACCTTTTTTTGCAGATTCAGAGAGCTTGTCGAATTTCTGCAGGCACTGCCGCTGGTGTTCCTCTGCCTGGGGGATGTCTTTGCTCTTCAGTCGAGCTTTATCCAAGGCCTTGTTAGAGCTCTCATAGTCAGCTAACGCCCGGGCTCTCCGGTAAAGAAGGTCCTAAGATATGCAGTTAAAAAGTTTTTAGAAGATTTTTTTTTAAAAAGCTCAACATCAAAACAAAACTTTTTCACCTAAAGTCTTCTTTTGTCTGTTCCCTTTACAGATGTTCAGTGACTCATCCTCCTCCATCTCACTCGGTCCTCACTCCAACTACCTCCAAGTCCTCTCTAACTGCATCCATCTCTCTCTTCTTGCCTTTTACCCGACAGCTGCATTTCTAACATCCTTCTACTAATATACCCACTGTCCCTCATCTGGACATGTCCAAACCATCTCAGTGTGTCCTCTCTAACTTCATCTCCCAGTTGTTCAACCTGTGCTGTACCTCTGATGATCTCATTCCTAATCTTATTCATCCTTGTCACTCCCAAGGAGAACCTCAACATCTTCATTTCTGCCACTTCCAGTTCTCTCGTCTTTTTGTCAGTGCCACTGTCTCCAAACCATACAACATAGCTGGTCTCACCAGTCTTCTAAACCTTATTTGAGAAAAATATAGAATTAGTGCGAGATTAATTCAGCATTGATAAGAACGCTGGATGTTTATGTGACAAATGAATACACTACTCCTTTGCATTGCAGAGTTAGTTTCTCAGTTATCAAATAAGTCGGTTATTTTTTCTTTATTATAATGTCATGCTTTGTTTTCGCTCATTAGGCCAATAAATTAAATAACTAGAATAAAAGGGTTGAGGACACAAAGTTATACTACACAGCACTCATCGGGGTTGGGATTTAGTTAAAACTGGTGTAAGGATTACTGGGTAAAGGTATTTACTAGAGCCAGAACGGTATATCGGTAGGGCTGACAGATGTTTAGGGACATATCAGTATCGGTGATAATTGCCTCATTAATCATGGATATACGCACTTTTATGATTGTTTATTATTGTCTTTGTTGTCCACTGTTGTCATCACTCTTTGTTAAAAACAGGTCTCTCTTGTAAATGAGTCCCCGAGGCTCACTGTGATTAATGTGTCTAAATAAAGTTTGAATGAACTTCTAATTTTCACCCCTAAAATGTTGGGAACGAGCTGTAATTGTACAATGTATCCAGCAGAGGACACATGCGGACTACTTTCAAGTCAAGGATATTCACTTTAACTATCAGCACACCAAAGCAGGGAACAATAATACTGTGTAGGGTATTTTGCTGAACGGAGCCTGGTAAGTTTATTTGAACTGATCTGTAAAATAAAAAATTAATTAAAAAAAATAAATAAATAAATTCTCTTTAATCCTCCTACACGGTTGTCATCAACTACGTGCCTCTCAAGTTTGCAAGCTAACGTTTAGATAACCTCACATAGGTTATTGCCTTGTAAAATTTGACCCAGAACAATAAATCTAACGTAGAGGTGAAATATATCAGTGTTAGTAACGTTATCTTTGTCATCCTCAATGAAATGCATCGTTTGTCTTTAATCTTCTCTGCAAAAAAAATAAAAAATATGTTGCTGCGGTCAACCTTCACCATACATGACTGACTGTTTAAACAATGAACAGGGAAGGGCGTTTCTTTGTTTAATTTATAGTTTGTAACACACTTGATAACTTTATAGTGACTAGTGGAAGATAGAAAATGTGAAGGCACGTTAGAAAGACTGTTTTTATGACCAGTGCACCACTTGTAAACCTACTGTGGGACTAGGTACAGCGTGGATCTGATTTGCTTAGCTTCATGGTTGCTAACAGCTGTGCTAAATAAACAAGCCCTGCTCCACTCACTGTTTTCTTAGATTCTTGGGGATGAACAAAGCCTCAAAATTTCCAGCCAATATACCGGTTATCGGCATTCATGCTCCCCTCCCAATATCTGCATTGGCAAGGGTCAAAATTTAAATTTCCATATCGGTCAGGCTCCAAGTAGTTACCTTCTGTCTGTGTTTCTCGTGTCACAAAATTACAAATGTGGTTACAAAGAAACCTTGTAAATAAATATTTATCCCCACTAAAAATTAAAATATAAAAACATATGCAATGGTAAGTGCATGGCTAAAAAATGGTAAAGAATGGGTATGACATGGATAAGAAACAAAGTGGCCCGAAGCCATTGTGAAACAGAACACTGAGCTCTGGCTTTAGTTGACCGGGTCGGTGCTTGTTGTGTGAACAGCACAAACATGTCACCTTCCATAACACTAAAAGACAAACATGTCTCACCTTAGCAGCCTGGATGTCCCTCATGTAGTATCTCAGCAGCTCTGTGAGTTTCAGCTCCTGGTCAGATGCAACTCTCCCTTCCACTTTCTGCACACACATGTACAAATGTCAAATTATGTCTTCTACATCCGTCACACATATTTAACTTGGCGCTTATGAAGTAATACTAACTCTGAGCTTCTCAAACAGTTCTGACAACTTCTCCAGGTTTCTGAAGTGGAAACAAATGATAAAAGCCAAAGTTAAAAATCTACACTTTATAAATTACACTTAATATAATTAACCTAATAATCGTCAACCCGAAGGAATATTTTTGATCTGAAATCAGACATTTATGTAACAAACTCACTTCTTATTGGCTGTACTGTCTTCAGCACAAATGCTGTTTAACGTGGCAGAAATGTGAATGTAGTCGTCTGCAATATCTGCAACAGCAAACGTATAAAATCAGAATTTATAATATTCTAAAGTAAACCGAAACTCATTGTGTTCTACAATAAAAACCCCTCCAATACTTTTGTGTGAACGGGTCATCTTCTCTGCTTTGGTAGTGGAATCTTTTATCTTGCTGTAGTAGTCGAGCAAAAATGTCTTCTCCTGCTCAAAAAAGTCATCAACTTCCTGTTTGAGAAACAAAAACACACAAATATTTGAGGAAGTCACTACGCGATTGTCTCTCTCTCTCTCATATATATAATATATATATATATATATATATTTATATATATATATATATATTTATGATATATATATCTTTATGATATATATGATATCTATCTATCTATCTAGATAGATAGATATCTATATTTATATAACAATCTATACATTAGTGTCATGAAGAAACTTCACCTTTATTCCTGAGATGAGAACCTCGTCAGCTGACTTCACCATGTTTTTAAAGAATCCCCCAAACATTTCCTTTGCATTCTTTCTCCGCACACTGAGCTAAAATGACAGATTTGAGAAAGGATGAGGATTAAATGCATGACATGAACATAAAGAGTAACATACATTTTTCGGAAAAACTAAAGAACTGAAATAATGCTGTGTTTGCTAAGAATAAATTGTTTAGGCACAATAATGCCTCACAACAGCTCATCTTAAAGAGTGCTACTAGCATTAAGTATATAAAGTCCCTCAGCTGTTAGTAGAGCAGAACAGTACAATTACTGACTGACATGATAAACATAACTGCTGATCACAGCAGGATGTATGCCATGTGTCACAAGCTTCTACTAAACTCTTCTTCCGCTCGTTCTAACCGACTACTCAGGAAAAGAAGTCAGCATTACTCACATCCTGGTCATACTCTAAGAAAATCTGGAAGTTTCTGTCTTTGCTTAAAACAGGGTGGGAGGACAATCTCTGCAAGAAGACTTCATGCACTTGGACAGTTTTCTTGAACACAGCCAGGTATTCACTAAAACAAAATAAAAATAAAACCATCTTGCAAAGAATTTGACTCGTAATAAAATGCTGCAATTCAGTTTAACATGTTTAGAGTTCAACACTCACGCCTCCAGCTCCTGCTTCATTTTAGTGTACTCCTCTTTCGTCATAGTGGCTTCACCTTCACCCAGTTTGTGCATCTTCTCTCTTGGGCTTTCAAAATCAGGCTTTGGGGGTGCTGGAGGGATCTACAATTAATAAATCAAGACATAATTTTCTTTTTCCTTTCATTTGTGTATGCCAGTTCTTAGCACCGATGGTCAAACTTACTATTAAACCTGCATAGTCCTCAGTTTCAACCAGAGTGTCATGCAGCCAGATGAAGTCTTCATGCTGCCTGGGAACAGAGAACTCCGGCTTCTGGAAGGAGCTAAGAGTTGTCTGGGAAAAGAGCAACAATACTGTGTAAAATATATTATTAATATAAGAACAAATATAAATAAAAAAAGAGATAAAAGGTTAAGATGATTTGAAATATGTTTGGGTATACAAACATTAACTTTTTTTTTTACCTTTGTATGGACTGTGAACTTGACCTTGTCCCTTTCACAGAGCGCATCAGGAATGTCAATGAGAAGAGACGCATCGTTGTTCAAGTCCACAGACACAGAGCGCAGCTAAGGAGAAACAATATAACATGTTATCCAAAAGGATCCAACTGGCTCCTCGAAAACACAAATTATCACTTGTCAATTGTGAACATGTGGATTTTAAAGCCGATTTCAAATAATTTAACAGGTTTACAGTCCTGTCATGATTCCTGGTTTTCCCATCAATACAAACTGAGTCACTAATCCTTATGTTCATGAAATGATACTTCTTCACACAAAGACGGGTCACTAAAACAGGACTCAATGCACATCTAATCTGTAATTAAATTCTACAACTTCTCTCTTTTTTTTTTTTGCATATTTCCCAACTTCATGCACGAGCGATTAGTAGGAATGTTTCGTTTCAAATATTACGCTGCAGAACTGTGTTCGATTGGAAACTGAAGTCTCTGTCCAGTAGTAACGTCCATTAATAAAACACTTTCTAATGACCACATGATGCAAGAGGGTAACACACTGCAAACATTTCATGTACTAAAAGCTAGGCCCAAGATCTTTACGGCTGTTCTAACATCAAAATATATAAATATTTCCATGACTAATACTACTCTATACTCAATGTAAGGTGTGGTAGTGGGATGTCATCCTTCACTGAATTTTATAATAAAACTGCAAGATTTTTGTCTTACAAACCAAGATGCATCTAATAAAATGGTCAAACGGTCATGAAGTCTTATGTTACATGTTGAAATGCTACAAATCTGAAAAAAAAAAAAAGCGAATGCATAGTTTAAACACAGCAGTTTAATGGGAGTAAAAAGCTAGGGGAAACAGCGTCTATGAATTTGACGGTACGCTGGAAGGGACAATTGTGGCTTTAAAAGTTTCATGTTTTTAATATTTTCACCAAGTATGTAAACAAGAGCGAGCAAAACCTTGAACTTACAAATATGTTATTTAACACTTTGCAAAATTCGTGGCGCTTTTAATGTCAGTTAGCTTTAGCAAGAAGCTAACGGATCAAGAACCTATAACTTTCGCAGAAAGCAACTCTTATGTTAGCTATTTATCTCTGATGCAGAAACCGCTGATTTTACGTTTAGTTTACACAATAACAAGCGAATATCTTACCTTGTCGTTACTATATTCGTCTAGGGATGACATAATGGGACTGAAATCTACAAAATGGCAAAGAAAATGAGGCCAAACTATATAAAACTATATGCAGGAAGCCGTCTTTTCGGTGGCTAGTTAGCTTCCTGACAAACTGTCAAAATGTTTTCCGCCCCAATCTCGATGACGAATTTAAATCCCGCCTTGATAAAACGTGATTGGTTAAAAATTATTTTACACCGCTGTGATTGGGCACATACGGGATCAATCAAATCCCATCACCAAACCTCTGCGTGGGTTCTAAAAACTTTTTTTAAAGGTTTTAGTTTTTAAACTAATTAGAAGCGAGACACAATGACAGCAAAATATAAATAACTAAAAAAAAATTAGGAACAAGACCGCAAGTTAGTGTACAATGACTACTAAGGGGACGCGTTTCAATTGAACGCTGTGAATTTTGGGTAATGTAGTTTTACAACACCAAATGTGGATATGAAACACCACATAAAAAACTACAGTTCCCATTGATAGATGAATGTGCCACCAAAATACCGCGTCGTTTAGAAACATTGTTGTTTTTGTGGAAATGTTTCAACGGTACGTGTCGGGGCAAGTACCAGCGACGAACAAAGACTGAAATGTGTGTTAAAAATCGAAACTACTAGAGATTTCTTTTGTTTTTAGGAAGTTAATAGTTCAGTTCTATGATCCCGCTATGTTAATAGTCACCAGAATGTTCTCTTTTAACCGTGTGTTGTGTTTCGGGTCCATCATTGTCCCTCAAAGCACCTCCTCCCTCTCTGTATGCCATTTTTCTGCTTTCCATTATCTAACCAGCCGCAAACGAAACAGTCCGTACAGTTCCGTGGACAGTGAGCGCTACTCCTCTCTGATAAAATCCGTCATGTCCTTCAAGGTCAGCCCCCAAACCCCGGAGACCCTCCAAGAAGAAGACGACCACATTTACGGATCAGTTGTCAAGTCTCCGTCAAGAACCGAGAAACGAGGACCTAAAACTCTCCATCCCTTTTTCAATTCCGAGAAATCTCTAGAAGCACACGAGCCAGAGGCAGGACCCCCAGTTCGGGTTTTATTGCCGGTAAATCGAGGACAAGGCAGGTCTTTTGTGCCGAGCGTGACCCGGATCCTTCAGCAGACCCTTTCTCCAGAGCAGATCTTCTACCTGGAGCGATGGAAGAGGAGGATGATCGCTGAGCTTGGAGAGGAAGGCTTCAAAGAATACACTCAGAGTGAGTTATTATTTCACACTAAAGCACTTGATGCGACATCAAATTGAGCTTTAGGTGATCCTAAACGGAGTTGTTTCCATACAGATATATTTAGACAAGGAAAGCTTTTCCACTCAGCTTTGGAGGACATTTTCAAATCTGGTGGAACATGGAAGACCAGAGATCCCTCAGAGACTCCAGATTATCCACCTGAAGTCCAAGGATACATTCAGAGCATCTCTCACATACTGGAGGATGTCAGTGCAGTGAGGGCTGCTGAAAGCACTGTCCAACATGGCTCCCTGAACTACTTGGGAATTGTGGACTGTGTTGCTCGCTACAGGTAAACTCTCCTCTACTTGACTTTTCTTCTCCCACCGTCTTTGTAACACTCATAGGTCACTTCTGTCTGCAGGGGTGTGCTGTGCGTTATTGATTGGAAAACGTCAGAAAAGCCCAAACCATTGTTGAGCAACACGTATGACAACCCCGTTCAGGTGGCAGCATATGCTGGGGCTTTGAACAGCGATGATAACTACAAATATCAGGTGATCTGAGTTATAAATTTGTGATGTTCTATAATGTTCCACACATTACTAATTTGTTCTGGTTGTAGGTTGAAAATGGGCTCATTGTTGTGGCCTACAAGGACGGCTCGCCGGCCCACGCTCACCAGCTGAGCTCAGAGATGATGTCAGAGTACTGGAAGACGTGGTTGATGCGTCTTGAAGATTACAAAAGACAAAGGTAAAGCAGACTGAACAAAGACAGGATTCGTACGCAGTCTTGAAAAGTAGGATTGGGATAAACAATTTTCCAGATTATGATAAGTAATTAAAATAAAAAAAAATCACAGTGAAGCAATTTTTTTCTCTCTCTCATATTGCATTTTATAAAAGATTAAATTTGAAAATTAAAATGAAAAAATAGCTTAGACAATCTGAGCATTATAAACAATTTTTTAATTAAATTCAGTTTATTCATATAGTCAGAGTCAGAGTCAGAGTTTCTTTATTGTCATTCGCACCTCATGTGGTACATGTGGTGGAGCGAAATTATGTACACAGGGTCCCAGTTACATCCAACAATAAAAAAAACAATATAGCGCTAAGTCACAACAGAAGTCATCTCAGGGCACTGAACAGAAATGTTCATATAGATAAAAAAAATAAGTTAACATTATTTATCTAAGAGCAGACTGCTTTGAATTTAACTCCATCGCAGACTTTCATCTTGAGCAAGCACGAAGGCAACAGTGGAAAGGGGAAAACTCCCTCGTGAGGAAGAAACCTTTAGCAGGACAAGCGGTCATCTGCTTCAACCAGGTGGGTTTGAGAGGAACAGGAAGAAGGAACAGATACACAATGGCAGGTCAAGAATCACATTAAGATAGAAATAGTATCAAATGGAAACTATTCAATTTTAACAATTAATTTAAGGAAATTAGGTCATGTCTTCTAGTAGTCTAAGTCTGTGGCAGCATAACAAGCCAACCCCAGCTATAGGATTTATCATTAAGGAAAGTCTTAATCCCAGTCTTAAAACTGGACAATGTGTCAGCCTCACGGACAGAAACTGGAAGTTGGTTCCACAAGAGAGGAGCCTGATAACTGAAAGATCTTCCTCCCATTCTGCTTTTGGAAACTCTAGGAGTCGCGAGTAAGCCTGCAGTCTGAGAGCGAAGTGTGCTGTTAGGAAAATATGGAACAATAAGATCTTGAATATAAGATGGAACTAGGTTGTTGAGGGCTTTGTAGGTTAGAAGTAAGATTTTGAATTAAATTCTGGACTTGACAGGGAGCCAGTGGAGAGAAGCTAAAACTGGAGACATATGATCTCTCCCACTAACTCCAGTTAAGACTCTGGCAGCAGCATTTTGGATCAACTGAAGATGTTTTAAAGACGTATTTGGACACACAGATAATAAACCATTACAATAGTCCAGTCTAGATGTGACAAATGCATGAACTAATGAAGTTATCACTGGATGTACTGGTTAACTACAAGATGGTTGCCAGTTCTAATCAACTTTAGCCAGCACAAAAATGGCTGCAACTCACCCAAGTTTACAGATATTAAACAACTGTGGTGCGGATAGTAGCTCAGACTCATGAACAACACATTCTCTGAGCACTCTCACATTGTGCGAGAGCTCGGTATTGCATGACATCGTGCATAATGTCTTTGACAAAGTGGCTAAAACTATTTCATCTTATAAAATAATTTAGGTTTATTTTCTCAACCATGAAAGGCAGCGGGTGATGTGGAGTCCAACTTAATGGTGTAGCTATGAATATATTCACAAGAATTACACTTACAGATTTATTTATTTTTATTTATTTATTTATTTTCTCTTTTCGGCTGCTCCCTTTGTCAGGGGTCTCCACAGTGAACTAAGTCGCATGAAGACGTGGCAGTTATTTTTACACCAGATGCTGACGCAGCCACAGATCACCGAGCTACCACAGCCCTCTGTGTGGAGCAGAGCGCTGCTATCTAGGGCGCCTGTGGGCGCAGATGTTGGGGGCTAAGGGCCTTGCTCAAGGGCCCAGAGTGGATCAAGTGAGGGTGGAGGCAGGTGTGGGTGTTTCACCTTTTCCTCCCACATTTTGATGAAGTCGGTACCGGGAGTTGACCCGGCGATCTTCTGATCACAGGTCCACCTTCTCTAACCTCTGCGCCACCACTCCCTCAAGAACTACCGATATAATCATCATTTGCAAACAGTTGACGATAATATTCAATAATAAGTCACAGCACCTTGAAGTTGCACACAAAAATCTAATTTTGTTTATATTTGAAGTCAGATGTCAGGACAACTCGTATAAAGCCTTGAGTTATTTAAAGGAGTTAAAAATGAAAGAAATGAGAGGACAGTTTAAGTCATTTACAATGGTTTTAAAAGTTTTTCAACCTTTAAACAAGGGATGAAACCGTTCTTTCAAATATATATTACCTCATCTACTGTTGGAATGTTGATTGTTGTGAGTTGTCTAGAGTTTGTGTGCCCATGAAATTAGAGGTTTTATTTTCTTAGATACTTGTAGAAATATGTCATATTCAACATCAAAGGCAGTTGTTTTAACCTTTAAACAATCATTTCTCCTTTATAAATCTATTCAAGTTTTTTTTCTTGTCATTTACCACCCATCAGTTTATCACTTACTATAAGATATGTATATTTTTATGTCATTTCAGAACAAGTTCTTCATCAAGTTCCTCAGGAAAGTGATGATCTGTAGAAAAATCTGCATCAGCCTGACGGTCTGCATCGATATTTTTAATTTAACGCACCTGAATTCTTAACTTAAAATGCGAAAGCAAGGCAATATGAAGTCTTTTCTTCACCTGTAGTAGGAAACTTAATAGATGAAGTATTTAAAATGATTGAACACACACTAGGTTTCTGTGTGAGGGATCTTTAGTGAAGCCCATGTTTTTAAAGAGTTGGTAGGAGGCCAGGCTCTGCTCCTTTATGAAGCAGAGCTCTGGGTAGCCCTGAGCGTGGAGTCTGGGCCATGCTGTTGATTAGGACTTTAGTGTAGCCTTTCTCTCTCTGCTCTGGCAGAGTGTACAGTATTCCCATGGTGCACGACGTGCACGTCAGAATCCAAGACACCGGCTATCCTTCGGCATCCATCACGCAGCAGGAGGGAATGTTCACAATCATGCTGCCAGTCGTCCCAGCAGCTTCCTGGTTCCTTCCAAACTTCCACGTCTGGTTGACCAAACCGAGGTGTGACTCATCCAGGGAGTTAATGCAAAGCAAATGTTTTATATTTTTCATAAAATGTTGTTTATAATGTGCCAGAGCCTGTATTATTATGTTATTGCTCTGTGTAGTTTATACCAGTCTGTAGAGCGAAGCTTGGTCTCATCCTGCAGTATCATCCTGTGACTGCCTGACTGTTGAAAGGCACGCTCTTTTCTGACGCAACTGATTTAACTTATCTCCATATGAGAAAGACTGGTCCCTTCAAATCATGAATAAAATGACTTTTTGAGATTTGCAAGTCATTGCATTCTGTTTTTAAATAAATTTTTACACAATATCTCAACCTTTTCAGAGATGGGGTTCTAAATAAAGTGGATCTTGTTCTCTGTTTGTTTTTGTTCTTTCTTATGTGGTGTGGAGATACGACACAATTGTATCTTCCTACAGCTGTTGTAGCAAAAACAGTGAGGACTTGGAACACAAAACAGGCAATAAAATTCAAATCAGATGCATTTGAACCTAAAAGTTACATTTCTCCAGTCAGCTCCTTCATGGTAAAACATCTCAGTTTGGATTTTAAAGGAAGTGTTTACCTCAGTTAAATAACTCTATGGCATGTTAGCTGACCAATAAACAAAAATAAATCAACCACATTTGATTAAATTATTTTTGACACTTTATTGTTTTAAGTTCTCACTGATTTGTTTTATGTCTCTCAGACACTGTACTAAAACCATATATAACTTCAGTGATTGGAAAAAAGACATTCAAATTTGTGACAAAATTATGATCTGCAACCTTTGCATCGTTTCATTTATAATTTATTTTATATGTGTATGTATATATATATATATCAATATGTATATATACACATATATACATGTATGTATATATATATAATATATATATGTATATACACATATGTATGTATATATATATATACATATATATATGTGTGTGTGTGTGTGTATATATATATGTATATATACACATATATATGTATGTATATATATATATTATATATATATATATATATACACATGTATGTATATATATATATATATACATATATATATGTGTGTGTGTATATATATATATGTATATATACACACATATATATATGTATGTATATATATATTATATATATATATATATATGTGTGTGTGTATATATATGTATATATACACACGTATATATATATATATATATATATATT